TTGTATTTAAATTTTCGTCTTTTCATTAAAACATTTTGATTGATTGAACCTAATTTTTGACTATCATATTCATCAAAGTTTTTCATCTAAGACTTGAGTTATCATTTATTAGTATTCATTGAAATGTTAGCATCTCTTTGTACTTAATTTGTTTGTATTATTTATCGAGAGAGGAATCTCATTGTAAAATCACTTTGATAAAGTGTTGGTCGTGTTAAAGTCCCTTAAAGATCAACATTGTATAGGGATCAATGCTCCTTATTGTAAGTCATCATGTGGGTCATACCGAGATCCCGTAAAGCTCAATAGTGTGGGTCATGTTGAGGTCCCGTAAAGCTCAACATTGTATAAGGATCGATTCTCATTGTTTGTAAGTCACCGGAAGTATTGTAAAGGGTTTGATTGCACCATAAGTCAATCAACATAGTGAAAATGTCTTGCTCATCCCGGAGAACTTGGTAACGGAGGACGTAGATCATTGCTTTGGGTCGAACTTTCACAATTATATCGTTTGTATCATCTCTTCCTTTTACTTATTGCTTTTATATTTGTACTTACTATTTAAATTAATTTATTTAGTCTTTACTTGGTTGAATTAGATTAATTTTTCGAAAAAATTTTAAAAACCAACTCACCCCCCTCTTAGTTAGTTATTTGTGGGCTATCAATTGATATCAGAGCTATGTGCTCAATTTTAAAGATTTCATATTATTTTATAAGTTTTAAAAATTAATTCACCCCCTCTTGGTTAGTTATTTTTGGGCTATCACACTGCTCAGTTATCACTCGACGATGCATGAGCAGCGTGGTTATCTGAAAAACAGTAAAATCCAATTTTCAATCTGATTTTGAGTTCCTTTTTCATCACAAACACTACTCATTATAAATATATACTCTAAGAGACGTACGGAAGTGTGGTTGAACAATATTTTGATTATAGAAATTATTCTTTGATGATCCAAACATCCTTTCGTTGATTCTTTGATTCAATCACAATATTATTTTCATTATTCAACCCATATATTGATCCAATTAGTAGAGTCTTGTTGTAAGTCAAAAGTTTGTTCTTCGAAAGCTAAAAACATATTTTAATATCTCTTTCATCAGCCTACAGATCATAACATAAAAGATCATTTAATCAAACACCAAAATAAAACTCTACTTTCGTCAATTTGACTTCAGAGTTTTGAGAAGAAGCATTTGGAGTTCCGGTGCTCGAGAACGAGGTTCGTTCTTGTGTTCCACTTAGAGAAAAAAAGTAGCTCAAAGTTCTGAGAAATACGGGTTGTACAACCAATGTAGTTCCTTGTTGATTTACAAGTGAAGTGGTCAAAGTCAATTAAAGTTTAGCATTGTCTACACTAATTGTCAATTAACTTTTAAATTGAATTTTATTGACAAGTTTGTCCGGAGGTTTTTTATCCGATTAGGGATTTTTCTCCGTGTGTTATTTATTTTATTGCTTTGATCTAAATATTTATTTGATTGACGCTTATGATTAATTTAATTAAACTAATTAACTTTAATCATCTAGAAACCAATAAACAGTGACTCATTATATTTATTGTTTAATTCCACATATTTGGATCAAAATTATTCGGCTAAATATTGCTTTCAACATGAATAGAGTCATATGTTTT